GTGTGGATTTTCAGATCATTCCTTTGCAAAATGAGGCCAAAATCATCAAAATACCGAATATTGGGGGTTCCATTGTATAGGTGCCTTTATCGTAGATCTATATAGAAAATACCCTTTCAGGGGGTAAAGTATTCACAGAGAACTTCTGGTGTAGAATCATCAAAATACCGAATACCAGGAGTTACTGTTATATGGGGGATATATGACATGATGGACCCATATAGACAATTCTCTTTCAGGGGGTAAAGTACTCAATAGGAACTTCTTGTGTGAAATTTCAGACAATTAATTTGAAAAATGTTCCTAAAATCATCAAAATACGGAATATCGGGGGTGCCGTTATATGGGAGCCTATCTTCGAACGTGACCTGCCTGCACAAAAAAACCTGATATGTGCGAAATTTTAGCTTCTTATCTTAATTCGTTTTGACTCTAACGTGATTACAACAGGCAGGCAGACGGAAGGACGGACAGAACTAAATCATCTTGGCATTTTACGCTCATCGAGCATATGTGTGATGGTGTTAGACATCGACCAACCTCTTCTGGTAAAACTTCCGCAAAGGGTCGCAATTATTAACACTCTCTCAAAACTGAAATTCGTATGTTATTTAAATGAGTAAAACAGTTTTTCTCTTTCATGACATTATACCGACTTGAAGTAGACAGTATAAAGCCATGAAAGAGAAGCAGATAAAAAACCTATTAATTCATTCAGAATTAATTTTTTTGTGTTAGTGTTAAGTTGCAAAAATGTTGTCACGGAGTTTTGAAACTTATATTTAGATCGACACTCTTCATTTGTTGCGTCCCCCATAAATTCTCAATATTTCGAAAAATTATTAGTTTGTTGTTTAGATTTTCCTCATATTTTCACGTTATAATATTTTAAAAAATCCTGCATCTTGATTCTATCCTTAAAGATGAAAAATTAATTTTTTCCAAATGTAGGTTAAGATTTTTAATAAAAAAATAATCCTAAATATTAAACTCCAAGAGAAGCCAATTTTTACAAGGTCTCCGATTTGACTTGGCTCTGAGATATTTTTAAAACATTTTCAATGACTTCCTGTCAGGACTGTCTATTTACATTATGTGTGTGGATTTACATATTTTACATTTGTAAGTCATCGAAATAATAATTTTAGACCCCACATAGATTTTACATACATCTGTCGCCAGAATCGACTGATACTTTTCAGCTTGTTTGGTAAAAAAGTATCAATAGGATTTTGTTCAACATTTGTATGTCGTCAGGATAAGGCCCTTAAAAAAATCAGAGTTTTACCCACACTCTATATCCGTGCCAATAATTTATTATATAGTACCTTTCGAACAATTGCATACTCTATTACACAAAATGTGGCCCCAGGCAAAATTGCACTTATTTCGTTGTCATTTTGCCACATAGAGATTCATAGAAATTTGTATCTTCATATAAGTACGGTCATAGTCTGAGGTTAGATATATAATGGCGGAATATCTTTTTTATACTTTCTTCAAAATGTACAAAAAAACTCATGTCTAAACATTTCCAAATTTAAATAATTTAACTGGCATTAAGTCCGTAAAGAAGTAGCATATGACCAATGTTTTAATTCCCCAGCTGTACAATAAATCCTCATTTACATTCTTACAAAAGTTACTCAGGGTCATTTGTAAACGTAACCCTTTTGTTCGAAACAAATTTCCTCTCTTTTTTGTTGTCGACTTAACGTTATGCGTGTGTTGTTCTTGTTGCTGTTGTTGTTGTCTTGAAAGAAAAATTATAAACTATATTTCACTCAGCATGTTTTCGTGGTTAAAGGATATTTATTTATATTTTTTTGGTCTTTTTTTCATAAAAAAATATATGTTTTATTTTTGTGATGACGTTGTATTTCACTTAGGTTTTTTTTGGTTGGCATTTGTGGCGAATGTTCAGTCACAAAGGACAAAATAAACTTTATGATGTGGCGTCTAAAGTCGCGTGTATTGCTGTTCTTTTGAATTATTTCGGTGTCAGATGGATTAAACAAATGTAAGGCCAGATAATATGGAGGAAAGTTTATCTACATAGGCTGTCTTTATTGTTATTTAGTGGAATTCGGAAAAAATGGAAAATTTTTGAAATGATTTAAATGTTAATTTAAAGAAACAAAGCATATTTTTAGGCGCATAAATAAAATAGAAGAATTTTTAATGGAAGAAAGAAAAATATATGAATTACTCAAAATCTTCTTAAAATATCATGAATGTTATGCAATAAGATTACTTTCATTTCCAAAACTTGGCTTGCTCCTTTAGAAAGGTCAATTTTGGAGAAAAAATTATGAAGATTAAATATTATGAACCACGTATCCGAATTGAATTGAATTTCTGAAAATATTTTTACAAAGACTTTAAGGCAAAAAGTCTGGGTTACTTTAAAGTGCGTTAAGAAAAAGGAGTTCTTCTTCCGGGGCAAAAATAGTGTTTTTTCTATATAAATACTTTTAAAAAGGTTTAGCTCAACAATCGCGTGCTTTTTAGAAACTCCAACCGAGAATCGTGAATTTTTACAATATTTCCAAAGAACTTCTTATTCAAGATTTGCGGATTTATGTATAAATATTTCACAAGAAATTTGTGTATTGTATCTGCAGGACTTTTGGTATTGAAAATGGGTCATGTAGGTCCACGTTTTCGCATAGGCCCCATAAAACGGTACCTACCGAAACTCGGCATTTTTATGATATGTCCAAAATTATTGAAAATATATATCTAAATTTGGCATTTGGAGTTCCTAATGGATACTATCTTCATATTCTTCATATAGCTCCCATATAACGCTAGCTCCCAATATTTAGTATTTTGATGATTTTAGCAACATTATTCACCGAAATTGTTTCAAATTTGGTATTTGAAGTTCGTAATGAATACTACAGGCTAAGACAAAAAATTGTCTATGCAGATCCACGTCTTCGTATAGCCCCCATATAACGGTACCTCCCCATATTCGGTAATTTTATGATTTTAGCGACATTATTTACCGGATTTGTTTCATCTTCGTATAGCCCCAATATAACGGTACCTACATATGTTCGGAATTTTGATGAGCTACATTATTCACACTTTATACCCTCGGTATTTTTATGATTTCAGCGACATTATTCATCGTAATTGTTACAAAATTGGTATTTGAAGCTCGTAATGGATACTGCAGCCTAAGGCAGAAAACTGTTTGTGCAGGTCCTCATTTTTGTATAGCCCCCATATAATAGTACCTCCCTATATTGATGATTTTACCTACATTATTACCGATTTTTTTCAAGTTTCACATTTGAATATATGGCGTATGACAAGAGTTGTCTATCCAGGTCCACGTCGTCTTTTAGACCCTAATATGTTGACTACATTTGGTATTTTCAAGATTTTAAAAGAATTTTTAAAGGATTTTATTTTTTTTTTTTTAAATTGCCAAATTCATTCCAAATGGCGGAGGGTATTCAAAGTTCGGCATGGCCGAACTTACAGCGATTTTACTTGTTTGTACATATTTTCGAAGAACTTCGTAAGCAAGCATCGTGAAGGTTTACAAGAAGCCAACAAACAAATATTTACTAAGAATCGGGATTAATTTAAAACAGGATTTTTTTAAGGATTGTTTGCAAAAAAATTGTCTTTGTACCTTTTTTCCAAAGACTTTTTTATCAAGAATAGTGGATACATATTTAAAATGTATTTTTTAATCATTTAAAAGGACTTTCTAACTGAGAATCAAGTTGTTTAATTCATTCCAAGGACATTCAGACTGACATTCGTGCATTTTTTTAATATTTTCTAAGGACTTTCTAAGTAGAAATGAGTGCTTTATATTAAAAATTTTCCAAGTGCTTTATATTAAAAATTGTAATTTTTTTTAAAAACATTTTTAAAGGACTTTCTAACAAAATTTTGTAAGTTTGTGTGTTCATATTTTCCCAAGCAATTTTGTAAAAAAGAATATATTTTTTTTTTAAATTTTCTTCAAAAATCGTCGATTTTCGTATAGATTTTTCAGAAGTAGTTATTTTTAAAATTTCTATTTTTTTCTTAAGAATCGTATTTTTTTAATATTTTTTCATTTCTGTAGATAAAAATGGTATTTTTTTATTTCTTTCTGACTAAGATGCGCATTCTTTTTTTCAAGGACTTCACACCAAGAATCGTGAGTTTTCTTAAAACATATTTTAAGGACTTCCGTAGATTATTTGTACCAAGGTCTTTCTAAAAAAACATTTTTTTAATTTTCTTTAAAACTCGTCGATTTACCTATACATTTTTCACAAGTATTTTGTAACCATTTGTAAATCGTGGAACTTCTGACCGAAAATTGTGGATTTTTATGTACCTCCTGGACTTAAATCGAAGATTTTTAAGGACCTCCTGGACGCAAAATCTTGGGTTTTAAAAATGTACTTAACGATGCTTTTGATTTTTGGAATTGTTTAAGGAACTGTTGGCCGAAAACCTTAGATGTTTGAAGAACTTTTCTATGACATCAAGAAAATTCTAGTTTCTGTAAGGTTTTGAAAGAACCTTCGCAACAAAAATTTGGTATTTCTAAAATTTACTTTGGGATATTCCGAACAAAACTCGTGTATTTTTTCAAATATATTTTCAAGAGTTTCGAATATATTTTCAAGAGTTAGTAGCTAAAGATTTTTGCAGACATTTCTGTTGGATTCGGCATTTTAAATGTTATTCGACGTTTTGATGATACACACATTTCCCCACGGAATTTGGTCTTCGAGACTCGATACTTTTATTTAACTTCTTTTTTCCAAATGGTGGAGGGTACTTAAACAACGGCCCGGCCGAACTCCGATGTTTTTTTTTTTTACTTTTTTTTTATTTTTAACCTATTGTTGAAATTTTTGTATCGCAAATTAATTATCTAAATTAATTAATTATCGTACGACGAACATACAGATAAATCAGCAAGTCACCTAAATATACCTTGTATATTTAGTCGACTTGCCGCCTTATGTTTTCAAATAAAATATTATAATTTTAAATGACTTCTCACTTCTCTTTAATAACTTCCACAACTTTTCTTATATTATTCAAATTAATAAAAACTTGCAATATCACCCCATCTATCCCACCAATGATTTAATTGACGATGCGCTCAAGGGCGGTAAAACTGCTATACTGACGCCAGAACTTGTCCGCAATTTAAATTTGGCTCTATATCCCAACTTATCGGCCACATATTCCAAGGTAGTGTGTGCCTCTCCTCCAGTACTGGGAAAATACGTTTCAGTACTATTCCCTTGATTGTCAACATGTCATCGCCTTCGAGGGAAATTGTTTCATCGCGCAAATAGTCACCTTCAAAAATACTAAAGCCAAATGGCAAAATATAAAAACTGGTTTTAGTTTTTTTTTTAGAATTAAATACCTTATGTGGCCTAAGTCTTTTGAAGTAACATTGAAATAATTGCAATTCATTACTGCAAACATGAATATCGGAAAAAGTGTCTATAATAACAACAACAAAATTATTTTGAAAAAAAATGAGAAATAAATATTAATATTTTGTGATTTTACCTTCATGGTACTGACTGTCTCTTTACAAAGTCAGATTGAAACTAAAATGTTGGAGATCTATAGGTAAAACTTTACGAAATATTTAACAGGCAAACACAGTTATATTGCACAAAATGTTCAGCCGGATCGAACTTTTAAAACCTTCCGCTATTTGTAAGAAACTTGAAAAATTTCAAAAAAAAAAAAAAAAAAAAAAAAAAATCCGAAAACTACCACTTTAATGAAAACCGTTATATATGGACTATACGAAGACGTACACCTGCATACGAAATTTTTTGTAATAGGCTGTAATACTCATTACGAACTTCCAATACGAAATTTGAAATAAGTTCGAAAAATAGTGAGCGACATTATTCACCGGAAATGTCTCAAATTTGTTATTTGAAGTTCATAATGGGTACTACAGCCTATGACAGAAAATTGTCTGTGTAGGTCCACATCGTCGTATAGCCCTAATATAACGGTACCTCCATATGTTCGGTATTTTGATGATGTGTATTACTCACTGTTTTTATACCCTTCACAATAGTATGGAGGGTATATTAAGTTTGACACTTCGAAATACACATTTTAGACTCCACAAAGTGTATACTTAGCGGACATAGCGATGTCCGTCCGTCTATCCGTCTGTGGAAATCACTCTAACTTCCGAACAAATTGAAGTAAATTGATAAAATTGTGCTCAAATGTATGCTATGTCTGCAGGACTTTTGGTATTGAAAATGGCCCAGTAGGTCCCATATAACGGTAACTCCCGACATTCGGTATTTTTATGATTTCAGCGACATTATTCACCGGAATAGTTTCAAATATGGTATTTGAAGTTCGTAGTGGATACTTCAGCCTACAACAGAAAATTGTCTGTGGAGGTCCACGTCTTCGTATAGCCCCCACATAACCGTACCTCCCGATATTCGGTATTTTTATGATTTTAGCTACATTATTCACCGATTTTTTTTAAATTTCGCATTTAAATATTGTAATGGCTTATGACAAGAGTTACCTAAACAGGTCCATGTCCTCGTATAGACCTTAATGTAACAGCTACATTCGGTATTTTTTAAGATTTTAACAGAATTTTTAACGGTTTTTATTGTTTTTTTAGAATTGCCAAATTCGTTCCAAATGGTGGAGGGTATTTAAAGTTCGGCTCGGCCGAACTTATATTTACTTGATGTATTTCGCTTGATTTGCAGTCCCTTAAATTCAATAAATTACAACAACATATTTCAAAATGATACAGTAAAACCGCAATTATTTATTACAAAGTTCACCAATGTTTGAACAATTCTGAGCACCTCGCCAATATTTGAAAAAATATTTGAAACGAAACTTTTTTATCGATGATAATTTCTGCAATAGGTAGCAATTAATACATAATATTCACTGTAGCTGCGATGATGATTTGAGTTTTTAAAACCATAATTAATCATGTCGATTAGGGTGGTCTTTGTAAATGTTCGTGGTTTATAACTCAATATCAATATAACATCTCCTAACGACTTAACTGTAATTTTTAACATATTACGATAGTAAAAAACACCTTGACGTTCGAACCTTAAAAATTATCATGCGGGTAAAAGTTTTGAATATATATATTTTTTTTTTAATTAGAATATAGACAAAATAAATTGCTTCGTCGCAGATTATTTGGCCGTTGTTTTTTATGGTTTTTGTATTTGTCGTTTGTTTCTCGAGTACAGCATCCAAAGAGCTAAGTCATATAAGATAAGGCAATTTTTTTAATAAAAAAATCAGTTAATCATTATTTATTTTTCCAGTCTCGAAAACAGTGGATACCTGCACGACCAATCAATTTCTGTAGACGATGAGGAACACTTGCACATTAATGGTGCATTGGAACAGACATTTTTATCCACATCGAATGGCAATGATTTTATTGTACGAACATCATTGGAATATATGGCCGATAAACTCGGTTTCAGAGTAAAATACAGATATACAAATGAAGGCGGATTTTTAGATCCTCTATTGAGTGGAGTTTCTCTAAAGTCGTTGGTTGGGTAGTTTTATAGCAGATTAATGGATTTATTAAAGTTTCGAATAAATAAGAACATATTCTCTTACAAAGTGATTGAGTTAGAAAACTCGATCTTAGTTTCATAATAATATTACGATGTAACAAGTGAAAGACCTGTAAGTTCGGCGGACTGATTTTTGAATAATCTCCACCATTTGGAACGAATTTGGCAATTTTCAAAATAAAAAAAAAAATAAATAAATAAATAAAATTCCTGAAAAATTCTATTAAAATCTCAAAAATACCGAATGAAGCAGTTATACAAGGGTCTATACGACGAAGTTGACCTGCATAGGCAACTTTTTTAATAAACCATTAGAAGATTCAAATGCGAAACTTGAAAAAAAAAAACAAGTAATAAAGCTGTAAGTTCGGCCGAGCCGGACTTTGAATACCCTCCACCATTTGGAACGAATTAGGCAAACCGTTTAAAATTCTGTTAAAATCTTAAAAATACCGAATGTCGCTGTTACATTAGGGTCTATACGAGGATATGGACCTGTTTAGGTAACTCTTGTCATAAGCAATTACAATATTCAAATGCGAAACTTAAAAAAATCGGTGAATAATGTAGCTAAAATCATCAAAATGCCGAATATCGGGAGGTACGGTTATATGGGGGCTATACGAAGACATGGACCTGCACAGGCAATTTTCTGTCTTAGTCTACAGTATCCACTAGGAATTTCAAATACCAAATTTGAAACAATTCCGGTGAATAAAATCGCTAAAATCATCAAAATACCGAATATCGGGGGGTACCGTTATATGGGAGCTATACGAAGAGGTGGACCTACATAGCCCATTTTCTATACCAAAAGTCCTGCAGACTTAACATACATTTGAGTAAAATTTTATCAATCTACTTTAGTTCGTTCGGAAGCTAGAGTGATTTCCACAGACAGACAGACAGACGGACGGACATCGCTAAATCGACATAGAATTTTATGCTGATCAAGAATATATATACTTTGTGGGGTCTAAATGTGAAGTGTTACAAACCGAATGACAAACTTAATATACCCTCCATACTATGGTGGAGGGTATAAAAAAATTCACGATTTTTAAAAATGAAATTTTATTAACCTGCCAAGGAATACAAAGTAGATCCACATAAGGCTTCAACAAAATATCCAGGATCGGTTTCATATTTGTATTTTGTACGGTAACCAAGTTTGTCGGCTACATATTCTAGGGTAGTTCGTAATATATCTCCATTGCTGCTGACAAATGATTGCTGCAATGTGCCTCTGATTTCCAAATCTTTTTCATCTATCAAAAATAGGGATTCTTCTCGCATGTAATCATCTTCATTTATACTAAAATTATTATTTTCATTAATTATTTGTTATTTATTTATAGAAAGTTGGATTTTTACCTTATGTGACTTATCTCCTGCGTAGCTGCGTTGGAGAAACAACAACGGGAGGTAATGATAAGAGACACCAAAAATATTATCTACGAAAAAAATAATCTTTTTTATAATTTTATTTATAGAAATATTTTCGTGCGCTCACCTGAACTTTCATGATCTATGTATGCACTTTGATGCTGTTTGATTTCAAATAGAAAATTATTTACTATTTTCGAAACAATAAATTGTTTGGCTGATGTGAAGCGGTAGATATTCATGTTTGCATTTCTATTGAATACTTACGAAATGTTATAATGATCATTTTGAAAGAAAAATTAATTATGGTGTTGAAAACACGAATATCCAATTCATTTATGGACAAGTGGAAATTATAATAATTAAAAAACCAGTAAGAAAATATCGGGCGGGGCCGACTATATGATACCCTACATACACCACTATACATATTTATTAGATCTCCCTTAACAAATACAATTTATATTGGGAATTTATGTGCAGTAGATAATAGCAACTAAGTACCATATTTAAATGCTCTGGAGTAGTCATGGCTTTAGAGTAGTCAGAATTTGGAAACTTTATCCAACTCTGAATCGATTTTCAAAAAATTTGATGGAGGCCTTTGTACCCCTAGAACAAAAAATATTGCTGTGTAGTGCATGATATGACTTTGGTAAGAATTATTTTAAACAAGTTAAAAAGCAGTAAGTTCGGCCGGGCTAAACTTTGAATACCCTCCACCATTTGGAACGAATTTGGAAATTAAAAAAAAAATAAAATCCTTAAAGAATTCTGTTAAATTTTAAAAATACCTAATATAGCCGTTATATTGGGGTCTATACGACGTGGACCTACATAGGCATTGTTTGCCATTAGCCATTACCATATTCAAATTCGAAACTTGAAATAAACGGTGAATAATGTAGCTAAAATCATCAAAATATCGTATATAGGGAGGTAGCGTTATATCGGATCTGTGCAAAGACCTGGACAAGCATAGAGAATTTTCTGCCATAGGCTCTAACATCCATTACGAACTTCAAATACCAAATTTTAAACAATTCCGGTGAATATTGTCGCTAAAATCATCAAAATACCGAATATAGGGAGGTACTGGTATGTGGGACCTATACGAAGACCTGGACCTGCATAGACAATTTTCTGTCACAGACTGTAGTTCTCATTACGAGATCTAAATACGTAATTTGAAACAATTCCGGTGAAAAATGACGCTAAAATCATCACAATACCGAATATGTGGAGGTACCGTAATATGGGGGCTACACGAAGACGTGAACCTGCACAGATAATTTTCTGTCGTAGCCTGTAGTATTTATTACGAACTTCAAATACCAAATTTTAAACAATTCCGGTGAATAATGTCGCTAAAATCATCAAAATACCGAATATCGGGAGGTACAGTTATATGGGGGCTATACGAAGACGTGGACTTACATGGCTCATTTACGAACTTAACCTGCCTACTGGAAAACTTAACATTAAAAATAAACGAACAAACATGCCAACACTGTTCGATTGCTTATATCCATAAAATAGCTCAGAATTTTGCTATAGCTGAAAAATGTCATTTCGATCGATTTTTGTTTTTTATACCCTACACCACAAGGTGGTCAGGGTATTATGTCTTTGTGCATTTGTTTGTAACAGGCAAAAGGAAACGAGATAGACCCATAGTTCCTTTTGATGATCTGCATAGAATCACATTCTGAGTCGATTTATGCATGTCCGTCCGTCCGTCTGTCCATGTATTTTTGTAAACAAAGTACAGGCCGCAATTATTGGCCGATCCAGATGAAATTTTGCACAGATCATTTGTTTGGCCCAAGGACGAACCCTATTAAAATTGGAGATAATCGGTCAAAATTTAGATATAGCTCCCATATATATCTTCGTCCGATTTACCTTTTATTGTCCACCAAACGTGTAATATCATCCCGAATTGTATGAAATTTTGCATATGTACCCAAATTAAACCTGAAAATAAATATGCCAAATTTGATCGAAATCGGTTCAGATATAGCTATAGCTCCCATATATATTGCTCATGCGATTGGTAACTACAATATTTGGGGAAATATATCAAATACAGCTCAGAAATATATTTGCCAAATTTAATCGAGATCGGTTCAGATTTGGATATTGCTCCCATATATAACTTCGTCCGATTTACATTTTATTGTACACCAAACGTCTAATATTTGTCTAAATGGGATGCAATTTGGCACTTACGACCGAATTGAGTCTAGAAGCTAATATGCCAAATTTGGTGGTATTGTTCATCCGATTTATTATATTTGTTTCCCACAAACGTAATATGCACTCTGTAACAACGATATTCAGGGAGATATATCTAATACAGCTCAGAAATATCTTTGCCAAATTTTATCGAGATCGGTTCAGATTTGGATATAACTCCATATATATCTTTATCTGATTCCAAATTAATTGTGCACCAAATGGGCAATACAAGTCCGAATTTAAAAGATACAAATGCTTCGGCATATTTGAACTTTAAATTATAATTATAACCATAGCGTGTATGATTGAATTCTCCCATAAAAACTTTTAATGGTTATGTGGAGCTCTACTTTAAGACCGACTTTAAGACTTTCTTTATTGGTTTTTTTTTGCGGTCTGCGTTCCATCCACAAATTTCTGACATTAAAATCAATTGAACTACTTTCCATTATTTAATAATTGCTCTTCTTGCATGCACGTAATTCCAATAATTTTTGAAAATCATCACACTCTTTGCCTAAACAATCTATGTTTTTTTTTTTTGGAATTCCTAACAAATCCTTTGAGAACGCTTCAATTGCTTGGAAAATCACTTTCCATTATCACCACGACAAAAATTGACTTTATGTAATTATTTCTCAAATTTCCATTAAATAGAGTTTTAATTAAAAATGTACACTGCACCTACCACACACAGACACACGCATAGACAGCTCGGCTGATGTGTTGGCAAGTAACGACAACATCACAGGGAATAACTTTACACGTCTCTGTGGGTGTAGCTATGGGTTTGCATGAATGTCTACGAATAGATGGCGTTGACTTCTGTTCCTCAACTCAAAATGGAAAAGTTTTTTTTTTGTTTTTCATTTTCTGTGGCATAACATGAAATAATGAAGGAAAATTTTCATAAAAGTTTTGTGTACATGAGAGACCCATAACCATAAGAAATAAATAGACACTGTAAATACATTCAACGACATGCGGAAGTGGTACACTGTTTTTGGATGGAAAACAGTGATGTTAAGGGAAAATTTTGAAAATCCTATTAAAACCTCTGTTTCGGAAAAGGAAGCCCTGAGAAACAAAATTTAAACGAAATAAATTGGAAAATATAGCCATAAACCCCCGAAAAAGGGGGATTTTTTATATAAAGGCTATATCGACATGTGGACTTATTTCCTCAATTTTTTGCAATTAACAAGAATTATCAAGTAAAAAAGCTATAAGTTCGGCCGGGCTGAACTTTGAATACGCTCCACCATTTGGTATAAATTTGGCAATTTTAAAAAATTAAAATCCATAAAAATTCTGTTAACATCTTAAAAATACCGAATGAAAAAGACGTGGACCTGCATAAGCAACTTTTGTCATAAGCGTGCACAGACAATTTTTTGATATAATACAAAATACATCAAATACAAAATTTGAAATAATTCCGGTAAATAATGCCGATAAAATCATCAAAATACCGTATATTGGGGGTATCATTATATGCGAGCTATTCGAAGACGTGGACCTGTACGGACAATTTTCTGTCACGGGCTGTAATATCCATTACAAACTTCAAATGTGAAATTTGAATCAATTCCGGTAAATAATGTCGCTAAAATCATCAAAACACCGCATATCGGTATGTGGACCTACACGGATGGGCATTGTTAATTCGACATAGAATTTTATGCTGATCAAGAATATATATACTTTTTATGGTAATAATAACAAATATGAATAAAACGTTGAAATACTGAAAATCTGGCTTCCCCGTGGTGTAGGGGATTCACAAAAAATTATATTGCAAAAAAAATTATCTTTTTGTAAAACAATAATTCGAAAGTAATTTTTTCAACCAATAATTTGTGAAGTAATCTTGAGCTCTCTACTAAATTCCCTGTAGGTCCTCCACATAGAACAGGGATGTCAGATTTTGGATATCACAAAATCAATTGTTAGAAATCACCATATATAGCCAAAACAAATTAAAAAGAATCAGTCGGTTTGGTCGACAAATGCATTCCCTCATCTAATTTCCGTTTATTTTATACCCTCAGCCATATGGCTAGATAGTGCCTTATTAAAATAGCGGTTTCAGACCCAAGACCAAATCCGTTTCAGGACATTTGGATTCGATCTGGCGATGTCCGTCCGTCCGTATGACTAGTGCGCACGATAACTCTCGAAGGCAGTACCAGTTTTGGTCCAAACTTGGTTCATCGTAATGTTATTATCACACTTACATCAAGTTAAGAGGTGGGTGATATCGGTACACTCCTCCTGGAACCTCCACCCAAAAGTTCGAAATTCCCGAAGAAAATATTTTATTGCACAGAAAAAAAAGAGCTATCCGATTTTGCTAGGTCAGGTGCGAAAGTGGACAATATCGGTCCACTCCATCAAGTCCAATCCAATCACTCTAGCTTCCGAACGAAATGAAGTAGGTTGATAAAATTTTACTCAAATGTGTATTATGTCTGCAGGACTTTTGGTATTGAAAATGGGCCATGTAGGTCCACGTCTTCGTATAGCCCCCATATAACGGTACCTCCCGATATTCGGTATTTTATGATTTTAGCGACATTATTTACCGGAATTGTTTCAAATTTGGTATTTTAAGTTCGTAATGGATGCTACATCCTAGGCCAAAAAATGAGCTATGTAGGTCCACGTCTTCATATAGCCTTCATATAACGGTACCTCCCAATATCGGTATTTTGATGATTTTTGTGACATTATTTAACGGAATCGTTCCAAATTTGGTATTTTAAGTTCGAAATGGATACTTTAGCCCATGCCAGAAAATAACGGTACCACCTATATTCGGTATTTTGATGATTTTAGCTACATTATAAACAGATTTTTCTTCAAGTTTCGCATTTAAATATTGTAATAACTTATGACAAAAGTTGCCTATGAAGGTCCACGCCGTCGCGTAGTCATTCGGTATTTTTAAGTTTTTAATAGAATTTTTAACGG